ACATGATGTTATAGCGGGCGTTGAGACATATGTTCGGTATTGCATGTCGAGCTAGATAGTAAAGCGTAATGAATGCTGTAGCTCACGACTATCTTCATCTCACATGGTAACACGGTGAAGCTGACCATTCCTCATATATTAACAAGGCTTGAGACTATGAACTTGATCTTCAAATCATTCTGGGTTACGCCATCTAAGATCTCCGATCCGTCCAATCTGCCCGCCCAACCTGTGCCAACGGCTCTTAAGACCCATCCATCTAGCATTGACATCAAGCGATGCCCAATCACTTTTTACGGAATATACAGACTCTCCGCACCATGCACAAAAGAATGTTCATATCCATGCTTTAATCATTGTCAAGGCTCCGATCCCAACAATAAAGGTGCAACGTCTAGAACACACCAAATGACAGCCCCGTTCCCTCTACAGCAGGAACCCCGCGATCATCATCGACACTGCTATGACGCCGAAGATACTCACTCGTTTAGCTTTAGCATCTGATATGCCCGTCTGAACAGGTGGTGAGTCCTGTTCATCGGCAGCAAGCTCGGAAATCATGGGCCTGATCGCGGGGGTTGCTTGGACGGCCTCGCCCGCACCGAGAGCTTCGGATGCACGACTGGGGAGATGGAAGAAGATGCCATTCTTGCCAGGACAGACGGCCGTGTACAGGGGCATAGTTTCTGCAAAGACTTGGGTTTCACAGTTCTCGGATCCGCAAGAGGTCGTGGTGTGGGAGATTGTAGCGAACATGGTGCTAGTCACTAGCTCGACGGAACTACAAGGAAAAGCATTAGTGAAATTTTCACGAGTCGGAGAAGAGTAGGTAGCGTACGAGGTGACCGCTGCCGCAGAAGTGATGCGGCTCGTGAAGCTTGGTGTTGGGGCGATCACCGAGTCGCAGTAAAACTTTAACGCACGCGCCGCGTAGTCGTTGAAGTTGTTGCCGTTGATGTCACTGTTTGAACCACCCCTGGTCGCGTCCCAGATGGATAGACCTCCAAATCGAGGCTTGTCCTTGAGCTGGCAGACCATGTATCTCAGCGCAGATAAATCGACATAGCCGCTCCCGCCTGCCAGGGGATCTGACAATATGCCTACGAACAACTCAGCTTCGCCGTTGTGGCCTGTCTCCGAAAGAACAGTTGACCATGTATCATAGAGAGAAGTGATATTATCGGAGGCCTGGCAGCCTGGGTTGTTGTAGAACTGAACGAAGAACGCGTCGAAGCGGGCGCCGTAGACAAGTTCTTTCAGCTGAAAGTATCCGTCACCGGTAGACATTGGGGAGCCACGGATATGTAGTAGCTGGGATTCAGAGTCCCGGAGAACATCCACCATCCTAATGTAGGTGCTTGGTGTCTGTTGCCGTTGGTTAGCCCGCGACTTGACGCAGAAGTTCTCTAAGTGTTGGAGACTACCATACTTGAATTCAATATCAAAGTCAAACC